TAAGCATGGCATTGAATCCTATACAACAGAAGAGATCTAAGCCTATTGAAGTAGATAGGCATTTTATCAAAGAGAAAGTAGAGGAAGGCATTGTATGTTTGACATACCTACCTACCAAGTTACAAGCTGTTGATGTACTCACCAAAGGATTGCCTAAACTTGCCCTTGAGAGTTATACAAGCAAGTTGGACATGATTGGTATTTATGATCCAACTTGAGGGGAAGTATGGAAATATTGTGTCATTATTGTGATCAATTAGCATTCATTATCATTATTAGGCTTTATTAGCATTTATTAGGTTTTACCTCACTTGATGTGTATATAGCCTTAGTTTGTACATTAGAAAACACATGAACGAGAAATATATTGTTTCTCTCCCAAAATTCCACAATATGAATGTCAAATTTATTGAACAACAGTCTTTTTATCCCAAATCACCCATTCAAGGGGAGAGTGAGTGGAGTGAATGGCTCATTTGTGACACCAAGTGTGATAAATCTGATCAAAAACAACATATTGAGACTATTTAGCCTAATGGACCTCACACATCACTAGATGAACCTATTATCCCTATCTCACCTGCCACAAATTCTGAGAGTTGTCTTCTGGATAGATCTGGAAATTGCTCAAATTCCCACTTTTTATCAGAAAACAGCCCTAGAACCCGTGAATCAGAGTCTACAAACTCTGGAAATCCACCAACCAGATCTGATTTTCAAGATAAAAACCCTTTTGAGACTCTAAACTCTCTCACCAAACCAGGTTTGACTAAGACTATGGTGGATGAATCTATTAATGTTACTGAACAGCAGCATGGAGGAGAAAGTTCCATTACCATACCAAGGCAAAGCCATGATTCTGTACCTGAGACAAGTCTTGAAGATCTTCATTAGCCTATAGCCTTGAGAAAAGGCAAGAGAAGCTATACCCAACATCCTATTGGCAGGTATGTCTCATACAGAAAGCTCTTTACTCATCTAAAGACATTTGTTGCTAATGTTGAAACTGTAAAAATCCCCAAAAGTTTTAATGAGACTTTTGCTAATACGAACTGAAAACAAACTATAGAAGAAGCGCTGAGGGCTTTATATAAGAATAGAACTTGGAAGATTGTAAATCTACCCAAGCGCAAATCTGTTGTGAGTAGTAAGTGGGTATTTATAGTGAAGTATAATCCTGATGGAAGTATAAATAAATACAAAGCTCGATTAGTTGCCCAAGGTACCAAGAGACCTTTGCTCCTGTGGCTAAACTCAATACGATAAAGGTTTTACTATCCCTTACTGTAAATTTAGATTGGCCTTTACATCAACTAGATGTGAAAAATGCCTTCCTCAACGGTGATCTTGAGGAAGAGAGATACATGGAAGTCCCTTTAGGTAAGAGAAACTCAGAAAATGTTGGTAAAGTTTGCAAACTTAGTTAACCATCTCACCCCTTCTTCACCTAAACATTTCCACACTTCGATAGATATACAATCAGGTCCGTTGGCTCTACCATTTGCCATTTTCTTAAGAGCTTCCTTTACCTCCTTATCACGTATTATTCGATAGAATGACAAATTTTGTTCTCCTTCACCAGTTACTAAATCCTCCAAGTTACTAGATAAATCCTCTCCATCATTGAAAAGTTTAGAAAAGTAAGTCTCCCATCTATTTTTAATTTCATCATCTGTAACTAAAGTTCTTCCCTTTTCATCCTTAATACACCTTACCTGTTCTAAATCTCTTGATTTTCTTTCCCTACTCTTGGCAATCTTATAAATATTTCGCTCTCCTTCCTTCGTCTCAAAGCTTTTATAAAATTCTTCAAAAGCTTTAGAACGAGCTTCACCCACAGCTCTTTTAGTTTCCTTCTTAGCCATACAGTACCTTTCCCAATTTTCCTCATTGTTACACAAATGTATGGCTTTAAAACAGTTTTTCTTATACTTGATTTTGTCCTGTACACTATTATTCCACCACTAAGACTCCTTATCTCTCGGACCAGAACCTTTTGATTCTCCTAAAACTACTTTTGCAACCTCCCGTATCTTTTTAGCCATATCCTCCCACATGATGTTAGCATTTCCCTGAGATTCCCAAATTCCTTTATCCAAAAGATTTCGCTTGAAAATATCTTGCTTCTCACCTTTTAATTGCCACCACCTAATCCTTGGTGCTACTACTTGTCGACGTTTTTGGATTTTACTCATAACACACACATCAAGGACCAGGACCCTATGTTGTGTCGTTACAGCATCTCCGGGGATCACCTTGCAATTTTTACAAAGTCTTCTATCTATGTTCCTAACCAAAAGAAAATCAATCTGTGACCTTGAGGCTCCACTTTTGTAGGTGATGAGATGCTCATCTCTCTTCTTGAAACAAGTGTTGGCAATCTTAAAATCATACGCCAATGAGAAATCAAGAAAAGTTTATCCTTCATTATTTAGCTCTCCAAAACCAAAACTACCATGCACCCTCGCATACTGACCAGCTTCCCTCCCGACATGCCCATTAAAGTCTCCTCCAATAAAAATCTTTTCACTCTATGGTATGTGTCGAATCAACCCCTCCAGATCCTCCCAAAATAATTCCTTAAGACTGGCTTCTGTCCCGACTTGTGGCGCATAAGCGCTAACAATATTAACAATCTCACATCCAATTATCATTTTTAAGAAAATAATTCTCTCTCCAATTCTGCTAACTTCTACAACGTTTTTCTTCCACTCCTTATCAATAATGATGCCTACTCCATTGCGTGCACTTACTTTTCCTGTGTACCAAAGTTTGAAACTTTGAATATCCTTAGCTTCTTCTCCACGCCATTTTGTTTCTTTCAGGCAAAGGATATTGATTTTCCTTTGAATCATAACCCCTACAACCTCTACAGATTTACAATTCAATGTCCCAACATTCCAAGTACCAAATCTAATTTTGCTCTCATGGACTAACTTCTTTAGCCGCGTGCGTCCAGAATGACGCGGTAGCCCTTGCTCATTTAACACTACATCCGAGCGCCGATGCAGCGGCTCTAACTCACTTATCACTATACTCAAGCCATGCAGCGCGTTACTTACGGGCAACGACCTAACATTAATATTATAACATCTATTGTCCATGTTCATGATAGATTCAACAAAGTTTTACATTGGTTGTTGATGGCCTAACACAACCCTCCTCCTTTACCCGGGCTTGGGACCGGCTATAAACATAGGCGGAGTTTGCAAATCCCCAACAAATCTCACCAAATTGATACCAATTTGATAGAACGTAGTAAACAGAACAGCAAAATTCAACACCAAAGCAGAGCAAAGTCATTCTTTTCTAATTACTGAATTAAAAGATCTAAAACAGAACCTCAAGCCATAAAACCATAAGATAAAGAATGATAACTCTCTAGCTTTCAAAAGGGTCAAGTCTCTCCAAGTACCATCCTCCAAAATGATACTTCACACCCCTTCCTCACTACCTGAACTACTCAAAAACCCCAAACCAACATTTTCTTTCCCATCTGTTCAATCAATTGTTTTCCCTCAATTACTTTTTCTTAACAAAGTCCTTCAAGATGTATCACAGCAGAGTCACACTATCAGTATCACATCCTCCATCAGCCTGCCTCCATTTTTGCTTATTGTATCCTCCATTACCCTGCCTCCCTACTGATAAGATTCCATATAAGATTCTATTAAAGACTTACTCAAGAAGGAAGCGATGGAAGATAAATTAAATCTGATTTTATTCTTTTGTTATCATTTGATTTGAAATTGGATATTATTTAGGATAGATTTTAGGATATTTTATTTAAATATTTAGTTCTTTAGACTTTATTTAGATTTTAGGATATTTTATTCATTTTTTATTTAATTATTTAGATTTCATTTAGCATTTTTCCTTGTATTTGGCTATATAAATATGCCTAACAACTTAGAAGCTAGTATATAATGAATAAAATTGTCTTTTAATCCTTTGGGGATTCTCTTAAACATGACTATTAAGAAAAGTATGGAACAAGATTCATATTTTATATCGTCTTAATAAATTTGTTCTTCCTATCCCTTTCAATTACTTTTTGAGCACCTAACACCTGCTCTCACCATAAATGTATTCTCCATTCATTATCTAAAATTTCTTTTTTTTTTTTTGACCTGACACATCGGAATTCATTCATCTCAACATCTCCACTCCATTCACCAGTGTAAAAATATACCATTTCCTCACAGTTCATAATACCACATCATAAACTACTCTGACTTGACAGAAATACTCAACAATTTCTGAGTTTAAGCGGCTAAAATTCAGTGCATTTAATATGCATCAGACAATACAATCAAGAATAGAAGATGTGCATGTCATTTCTAATGTTATCAAAACTAGACCACACGAGTCAGTTCAACCAAAAAACTAGAGAACCAGTCTCAAATTCAATTCACAAGGGCCTGGAGATTATAAAGCAGCTAGGCTCATAACTGATCGAACTAGGTCCAATCCAGCATTATATGCTTTAACAAATGATCCTTTAAGTGTTGAACCAATCCAAACTTTAATTTTGCTAAAATTGCATTGGTTTGAACAAAGTGTCTCATGCCAGCATCTCATCTGTGTAGCTTGCAAGTGACGCTTACTTATATAAAAGTTTTATGTAAGAACTCTATTTTTATTTTGGCAACACTATCAACCAAGAGGATTGATCCTGATAATTTGAATATAGAAAGATGCAATTTTTACAACGAGCCAAGATGGATTGAATGGCTTGGAAGCATGGTTTTGACTTGTAATGTAATAATAAAAATTAAAAATAATATTCACATAACATACTAATTATTATATTAAATTTTTAACAAATAAATTAAATACATATGCAATATATTTAATAATTTGTGATTCAATCATGGTTGGATCATAAACCCCTAAATCAATGCGTTCATTGATCATTTGAGTTTACAGCTTTTGGCCTTCAGCTTCAGCTACAACTAACAATTATTTATGCTTCTGAAATGCATTAATTTAGCATGTACCTTGTACATATGAGGTTGCCCTTGTAAATAAACCAAATATTACAGGGTACTGATGCTTGCTCAAGTACAAGAACAGCTTTCTTCGTCTCTTCATCTGCCAGTTTACTGGAATTACAATGATTATGATTTCGTAGTCAATACTGAATCTAAGGATTCACACTTTCATAAATCTCAGCCATCAGGGCATTCTACAGAAAACTCACATAGTAACTTTTCACAAACAAAATCCAAATGGTCCATGTTAATACGATATTCTACTTAAAGAACTATTGTACATCATAATTACATTGTCATAGTTATAGGCGCCAAAGCACAAAAACTAATTGATGAGACTATATAAAAACAATCTTGTGCAATCTAAAAGACCTCATCAATTGCCAAACCCCATGGTTCTTTTTCTTACATCATTGCCAACATCTAATCTCTCAAGAAGATAAAAATTCTTTAGACAGTAATATTATCATTTGAGTAAGGAGCCTCACCTTATAGAATAAGGTTCCAATAATCTCAAACAAACAAGAAAAAAGAAGTGGCAAAGTGTTATAGATTTATAATTATGACATGTTAGTTATAGTTATACAACAACAACAACAACAACAAGCCTTTATCCCACTAGGTGGGGTCGGCTACATGGATTGCAAGACGCCATTGTGCTCTATCATTTATTAAGCTTTTAAAAATATTATTAATTAAGAGATCACGTTCAACAACTTCCAAGAGTGTTCTCTTAGGCCTTCCTCTACCTCTCTTAATCGGACTCAAAGTTATATGTTCCACTTTTCTCACTGGTGCCTCCCTTGGTCTTCTTTGTACATGCCCAAACCATCTCAACCGATTTTCTACCATTTTTTCCTCAATAGGTGCCACCCTCACTTTTTCACGTATGTGCTCATTTCGAATTTTAACTTTACGTGTATGTCCGCACATCCATCGTAACATTCTCATCTCTGCTACTCCAACTTTATGCTCTTGCTGTCCCGTTAGAGCCCAGCATTCACTACTATATAACATTGCCGGTCTGATAGCAGTACGATAAAACTTTCCTTTAAGTTTATTAGGCACCTTACGGTCACAAATAACTCCTTTAGCTTTTCTCCAATTAAACCACCCAGCTTGAATTCTATGTGAAATATCTCCACTGATTTCGCCATCATTTTGAATAATGGCTCCCAAATATGTAAACTTTTCCACTTGAGGTATAATTTGATCTCCCAATTTCACTTCCAAATTATTTTCGAATAGTCCTTTACCAAATTTACAATATAAATATTCCGTCTTACTTCTACTCAGACGAAAACCTTTCGACTCCAATGTCCTCCTCCATAACTCAAGTTTGTAATTAACCTCTTCTCTTGTCTCTGCTATAAGAACTATATCATCCGCGAAGAGCATACATTTCGGGATTTCCTCTTGAATATGTTCCGTCAAAACATTTAAAATCAAGTTGAACAAATAAGGACTCAGAGATGATCCCTGATGTAGTCCAATCTTTATAGGAAAATCCTTTGTTTGACCACTAGGCGTTCTTATACTAGTTTTTACCCCCTCATACATATCTTGTATGGCTTTAATATAAGCAATCCGTACTCCCTTTTTTTCCAACGCTTTCCAAAGCACTTCTCTTGGTATACGGTCATAAGCTTTTTCCAAATCAATAAAAACCATGTGTAGATCTTTATCTTTACAACAATACTTTTCCATTAATCCCCTTAGTAGATAAATTGCCTCTGTAGTTGATCTACCTGGCATAAAACCAAATTGATTCTCAGAAATACTTGTCTCCAATCTCAACCTGTGCTCAATTACTTTCTCCCACAATTTCATTGTGTGGCTCATGAGTTTAATCCCTCTATAGTTAGTACAATTCTAAATATCTCCTTTATTTTTATAAATAGGAATTAATGTACTTCTCCTCCACTCATCAGGCATTTTCTTGGACCGTAAAATCACATTAAATAACTTAATTAACCATCTCACCCCTTCTTCACCTAAACATTTCCATACTTCGATAGATATACAATCAGGTCCGTTGGCTCTACCATTTGCCATTTTCTTAAGAGCTTCCTTTACCTCCTTATCACGTATTTTTCGATAGAATGACAAATTTTGTTCTCCTTCACCAGTTACTAAATCCTCCAAGTTACTAGATGAATCCTCTCCATCATTGAAAAGTTTAGAAAAATAAGTCTCCCATCTATTTTTAATTTCATCATCTGTAACTAAAATTCTTCCCTCTTCATCCTTAATACACCTTACCTGTTCTAGATCTCTTGATTTTCTTTCCCTACTCTTGGCAATCTTATAAATATTTTGCTCTCCTTCCTTCGTCTCAAGGTGCTTATAAAATTCTTCAAAAGCTTTGGAACGAGCTTCACCCACAGCTCTCTTAGTTTCCTTCTTAGCCATACGGTACCTCTCCCAATTTTCCTCATTGTTACACAAATGTATGGCTTTAAAACAGTTCTTATACTTGATTTTGTCCTGTACACTATTATTCCACCACCAAGACTCCTTATCTCTCGGACCAGAACCTTTCGATTCTCCCAAAACTACTTTTGCAACCTCCCGTATCTTTTTAGCCATATCCTCCCATATGATGTTAGCACTTCCCTGAGAATCCCAAATTCCTTTATCCAAAAGATTTCGCTTGAAAATATCTTGCTTCTCACCTTTTAATTGCCACCACCTAATCTTTGGTGTTACTACTTGTCGACGTTTTTGGATTTTACTCATAATACACACATCAAGGACTAGGACCCTATGTTGTGTTGTTACAGCATCTCCGGGGATCCCCTTACAATTTTTACAAAGTTTTCTATCTGTATTCCTAACCAAAAGAAAATCAATCTGCGACCTTGAGGCTCCACTTTTGTAAGTGATGAGATGCTCATCTCTCTTCTTGAAACAAGTGTTGGCAATCTTAAAATCATACGCCAATGAGAAATCAAGAAAAGTTTGCCCTTCATTGTTTAGCTCTCCAAAACCAAAACCACCATGCACCCTCGCATACTGACCAGCTTCCCTCCCGACATGCCCATTAAAGTCTCCTCTAATAAAAATCTTTTCACTCTGTGGTATGTGTCGAATCAACCCCTCCAGATCCTCCCAAAATAATTCCTTAAGACTGGCTTCTGTCCCGACTTGCGGCGCATAAGCGCTAACAATATTAACAGTCTCACGTCCAATTATCATTTTTAAAGAAATAATTCTGTCTCCAATTCTGCTAACTTCTACAACGTTCTTCTTCCACTCCTTATCTATAATGATGCCTACTCCATTGCGTGCACTTACTTTTCCTGTGTACCAAAGTTTGAAACTTTGAATATCCATAGCTCCTTCTCCACGCCATTTTGTTTCTTGCAAGCAAAGGATATTGATTTTCCTTTGAATCATAACCCCTACAACCTCTACAGATTTACAATTTAATGTCCCAACATTCCAAGTACCAAATCTAATTTTGCTCTTATGGACTAACTTCTTTAGCCGCGTGCGTCCAGAATGACGCGCTAGCCCTTGCTCATTTAACACTACATCCGAGCGCCGATGCAGCGGCTCTAACTCACTTATCACTGTACTCGAGCCATGCAGCGCGTTACTTACGGGCAACGACCTAGCATTAACATTATAACGTCTATTGTCCATGTTCATGATAGATTCAACAAATTTTTACATTGGCTGTTGATGGCCTAACACAACCCTCCTCCTTTACCCGGGCTTGGGACCGGCTATAAACATAGGCGGAGTTATAGTTATAGTTTTATCAATTACGTGTGTTTCATTTAAATAGTTGGTTAGTTAGAATATAGCCATTTGGAAGGAATGTCTTAAGGCCTATATATACTTGGGCATTTGAGTTGTAATCTTTATCTTAGTAATCAGTCAAAACTATTCCTTATGTTCCTCAAATTCTCTCAATCTCTTCTCCTTAATCTCTCTCATTCCTCTCTGCTTCTACTAACCTTCCTGTTCTTCTCTCATCTTTCCCCCTATCTCTCCAATTTCTATCAGTCCAAAATATTCTAATGAGACCCTATTAAATAATAAACCAGAAAACAGCAAACAAGCAACAACAGAGCACAAAATAAAGGAATTCCTGAGGTTTTAGATTAATATGATATGGTGCTGAATCAGAGTTACAAGAAGGATTCCCTAATTCAGTATAAAACCCTCTTCCCTTGTTACAATGAAAATCACAGCAACTGAGATAAACCCAGCCCCTCTACTACAGAGCAACCGCTGGCTTTTGAAAGGCTAGTCCTCTCCTCCCAACTCTCAAATACCAAAATAATGACACACCCCACTTAGGAACCTCAAGCATAATTATAAACCCAAAAGACAACCCTCACGGACTCCAAAAAGAACCCTCTCCTAAGCCAGGTCAAAAGCAACTCTAAAGCAGCCTTAGTTGTGATTTTCTTGCTCCTTAATAGTTGGAGCAGTTAGGTCAACGTTCTAACTATCTGAAGGCATCTTTCCTTTTTCAGGCTTCTTCTTAGGTTTTCTTTTGTAGGTCTGGCCAGCAAAAGTAATCCTATCATATTCCTACACATCAGTGGTATCAAAACAAACGCTCCTCAACCCCTCTCCTTCATCATCAATCATGGCTCATGGTCAAGACTCAAAGTCAAAGCAAACAAACCTGACAAGAAATGGAAGATTACCTGGTCAAGATTGAAGAAAACAACAGCAAGATTAATGCTTTAGCAGAATTGGTTGATGGGCTCTCTCAACAACTCCAGTTATGGGTACAGGACCGAGAAAACCAAAGGGAAGGCAACCATCGAAACGGGCAGAACATTGATCATCACCACGAGCATGAGGACCATAGACAAAGAGATAGGTATGGGCGAAGAGAGTATAGGAGACCCACCCAGCTTACGAAAATGGAATTCCCAAAGTTTACAAGGGAAGATGCACTCGGTTGGCTCTTGAAATGTAAGCATTACTTCAAACTCAACGAGACCCCAGAAGCATCTGAGATTAAAATCACCAGTATGCCTCTTGATCCTAAAGCCTTCTAGTGGCATCAAGCATATGAAAAATCTTGGAGGGCATGCATCCGAGCTGGGACGAATACTCAAAAGAGATTAAGGATCGCTTTCGGC